TTCCCGTTTCTTAGGGTAAGACCTTGAACTATCACATGTGCGTGAGCAAAGGAACACAAGGCGAACAAAGTAGCTTGGCTTACCTCGTCTGGTGGGTCGACGTTGCCTACGACGCTCATTCGTCTATTATTATATGCGATGCTGGGCCCCTCAGCCCCATCAAACCATTTCATATCAACGCCTGCTGAGGTCACCCCGCAGGAGAAAATCGAAAACCCAACGTAATGGAGTAAAGTTGGCGATATCGCAACGGCGAGCGTCAGCCCGCAAGCACGGAGGAAAGATACGAACGAGGGCAATGTTCCCGATATCCGAGGGTAAGCGTCCTCGGGATGATGCTGTGGGCGTAGAGGATGAAATGTGCGGGTTAGGCGGCGAGACAAATTCCAATGCCTAGTCCCGTGTTCCAAAATTTCAGAAGGGGAAAAAATGGTAGGGCCCAGAAACTCTACTTTGTTGAAACCGACGATAGGAAGAACTGATATACCGGTTTCCTGACTGAGAGGGAGGGTAGTTGGAGGTTGTAGCGATATCTACATGGGGATTGCCCATGGAATTAAGAGTGGAAGTTGAGACGGGATTAAGGCAGCGAGCGTGCTGCATAAGGAAGAGCGAGCGATGTTTATGAACCTGAGTTATCATCTACACCAACGCTGATGGCGTTTTCCTTCTCATTCGGATGAGGAGATAACGTTTGATCGTGGTGTGACTTGAAAGCCCATGTTCAGAACGAAGGTAAGCTCATCCCGAGACCAAGAGCCAGAAATTCAAACGCCCATTCCACCTTGAAGACAGAAAAACATCCCTAGCCATACAAAGCACCATCCACAGTGCCGCATCCAAAAGGCAGAGTTGGATAACGCCACAACAGAAATGGGAGTATGCCTCGTTTCATTGTACAACGGGGCCAGGCATGTCAATGTCGATGACAGATATAGGGGCGATTGAATAATAATGGACCGGTAACCACGGCGGAAAGGGTGAGGCTGGCGTGCGTCTTGTTGGGGATTGGCCAAGTTCAAATAAAATTGCGAGTGTGTCGGACATACTTGATTACAATCTCATTGAGAGCGACACGGCGAGCCCAACTACTGGAGCGAAGTTTCGAAGGCAACTCCGGAGATGAGTCCGAGTTAACCGACGATTTAGAGGTGAATATCTTGTGTCAAGATGTTCTTTGAAAGGAGAGATAGCCTTTACTCAGAGGTGCCATACAAGGCTAGAAGATACATCAGCAAATGCTTCGAAAGATACACGACAAGAAACGTACCCTTGCCTCGGCCGTCTCCGCATCTCATATCATGAGACAACTGACGACTTTCCTTCCATACAACTTGTCCTCTACCCATTAAACCTCATTAATCATTCCAGATGCTATAGAGTTCTGAAGCTGTCGTTGACGAGTTGGTTGAGTTTGCTGGATAATTAGAGGCTAACGGATGAATGCCAACAGTGAACCCCAAGTTATGATAAGGGGCCGGAATGAGTTCTGCACCCGGGTGTAATAATGGGAGAGTAAAGGACGTCTTCGAGTTTGCATTTTTCGAACATGGTGGTTGGGAAGAGAGGCTCGGAGATTGGAGTTCGCCGCACGCCGCACGGAGCGAATCTCGGCTGGCCACGTGACTCGGCCGAAACCAATTACCACACCGAACAAAACCCAGCCCAAGAACGACACTGAGCCGTCGAACCTCCGAAAGGTAAACGCTGAATACTAATTAATGAGCCTGAAGATACGGAAGTGAGAGCTCTCAAAGCTTATAGGCAGTACCTATCGGTCTACTCAAAGCTTGATGAATCTCAGCCTCTCAGGACTGCTTATGAACTGGCCTCCACAGCAAGTCAGCGAGCGCGACCCAGACACCACATCAAGTTAGATTTTGTGAAGGAGCTTCGAATAATGTTTCAAAGCTATCTCGGGTTTCACCCTGAGCTTAGTTACCTAAATTTGGCAGGATATTCCCAATATTGCTACCCAGCGGGCGTCTCTTGGTATATCTCACGCTGCTTGCCTCCGGGTGATCATGACGCTCGGCCCTCTCAGGTTCTGAACGAGTCAGACGACATATTGTCAGTCACTCGAAGATTTGGGATAATACCGCACAAGGAGCTCGGATTGGGTCGGTGTCGTTTTTACATCCTGGATTACTATTTTGACACGGAGTGTATCGAGTATTAAAATACAAACGGATGTACGTATCTTAGTCGCGCTGAAAGTAATCTCATGAAAGAGGCGTCTAAAAACGAAGTTTGAGTGCCCAATGCTCCTTCAGTAGAGCTATAACCATACTCACAGAACATTCAGGTTCAATTCGACTCCCCCTTTCGGATTACCCATCGGTTGACACTACAACAAGGCTATCGATAAGCGGTATATGAGCTAATTGCGTCCTTTTCGAATTCACTCTGAAGCGCACGTACCCCGGTGCCATCATCTCCCCCCATAAAATTGGCCAGGTCCCCAATAAAAAGATCGCCGAGGCGACACGTCGAACTGTCGGTGAGGGCCGTCAATACGATGTAGGCGCTGACTTGCAAGAGCATGAAATTATACTCGCATATCGCAGCCAGAATCCCCAAGATTTACGGCTCGCCACATGTTCAAGTTTCGGACTCGCAATGACCTTGGCTGTTTGACTTGGGACTCACACTGCGTATAATCCCAACGAAGGTGGTAAAACCATCCCGCCAAGTGACTACGTACCGCCGGAAGCTGGGATTTGTGAGTGCCTTACTGTACTGGAGTGTAGGGAGGCGACGTAACGCGTAACGGTGAGGGTGTCCTGTCGCTAAAATGGCGTTATGTAATGCTAAAAGATCACTTTCGAGGCTGCTTTGGCCTCCGAACCTCCCATATGTGGCTTGGAAGCCCCGAGTGCCTGCCAAATAAGGGAGTTCCCACGGGCTGTTGCTAGTGAAAATCCGAAGTTGGCGCGTAACGGTCCTCTGGCTGTCGCCTCTCTACACTCCAGTACAGTATTGTGAAGGCCCGAGGTCGAGTTCGCCTTCGAGATGATCCCTTGAAGCTTGGAGATCCAGAGCAAGGATGAACATGTGGGACTAGCATTGTAAAGGAGGGAGGTAAGAATCAATCTCGAGTGCTTTGGTCAAAGCGTCATTTTCGTTGTTGAGGTAGTTATCGGGTGGGTAGATTATAGTAGCCGATAGACTGGCAAGAAGAGTAGTCGACGAGAGTGAAACGCGAATGAACGAGAGCTTGGTGCATGGAGATCCCACTCATTGAAAACTCACTAGGACGACATGCTCTGCAACGCCAGTTCCCAGGACCTTTACATGTTTTCAACATCGGGCGGTAACGTATCTGCAGTACGATGATTATTCCGAAATCAAAAGCATGTAAAGATTCTGTCTTACATTCTAGGTCGGATTTATGGTTGTGCTCGGTACCAGAAGGAAAGCCAGTTTGAGATGCATCAAATAAGTGATGTTCCAGATGCCGGAAAAGTAGTATGCCCACCAACTTCTTGAGTGATCACCGTAGCTGGTGAGAGGTTGTTCTCTGGTAGTCGAGGGTGCACCTCTGGCTTCGAGTGGTTGGGCTAGAATTCAAACATGTTGATGACAATTTCATAGGCCGGGTCTAGTAGAATCAGGTTCCCGACCTTCCAATGCTACTGATCCTCGGTGAGCCGGGTGACGCGTGTGAATTGGGGGTGTATACGACATGGTGTCCTTCTAGGGGCTCTATACGTAGTTCGTAAGCGGGTCAAAGCAAAAACAAATTTTAGGTTCAGAGCTCTTCGAGCGCTGGGCGCTCGAGGTCTTATGTCTGATAATTTGGGATGAACCCCACAACATTCAAGCTAACTGACGATCACAATCATTGTCAGCTACACGCCCAAAAATACACGCAAAACATTACTCTCTTGCATAGAATGCGGTATTTGCCTATTCATCAGTCTCAGTACTTAATATCAAGCCAGCCACAATATTTGTACGTTATAAAACCTGCTTCGCAGGACTACCAGTAGCATGTCTTCAAATAGTGAACAAACAGTGGACGATGTTATTTTGGGACCCCCTTCCCATGTTTCAGCTCTGCCCTTTAACTACGGAGCGCCTAGCGTTATGAAGTCATACTGCCTCGTGCTTTGCCTTGAGTATGAAAGTGCGGATATACGACGAGGTACGCTGTCCTACTTCACACCCGCAAGGCGTCATATTCTCAGTATTGGTCGACCTAGCTTTCATGCAGGAGCTGTATGTGGTACCGCTCTCGCCAAATACATACTACGTTTCAACAGTTTCGGGATTTGCTTTGGCTCTACGGCTGCTACTTTTGCCTTGCCAATGATACATATTTAAACGTCAGCTCGCCAAGCTCCCAGCCCCCAGCCTGCTGGGTTGAAGAGGATACCCCACAACTGCCTATGGCGTCCGCGCCAATTTCGAGATCGTAGATCTAGGCGAAGCAGAATATAATCTTCAGCTCCGCCCGCGCCTTCACACTCCCAGGTAATGCATTCCCGATCACGATGGTGAGGAGAACCAGAATAGAACGTAGGGCCAGTGTCCGCTCTTATCGACACCACTCGTGATCGCAGATACCGATATTGGAGAATCTTTGACGGAAGTAGCGAGAAACAAAATCCGGTGCACCGTTAAGACTCGAACGGTAATTAATGAATCACACTACATCGTCAGATAGTGAAAAAGTACCGATAAGAAATATTTCACCCGGATATTGGAACCTCACATACAGTTGTTCACATGCGCTCTTGAAATGTAGCTTCTGAGGATCTGGAGGCAGCTGTCGCTATTTTGCGTTGTATTATAATACTGGGTTCTCGTACTTACATAGCCAGGAAGGAGGGTCAGTGTCACTTTTTATCTCTTCACACATATAATGATGGTTTGGGTTTTCACCAACAGGATCAATGTATCCACTGGTCTGCTCACCGGAGTGGCAATACAAAGGAGGGTCTCACGTTAATTGTGATGTTTTTAGAAAAATGAACTTACCTCGATCACTGGATTAGTGGACACACTGGGAATTGAACCCAGCACCCCCCGCAGCAATGTCTTCCCACTCATGCTAAGCGGATGTGATAACCAACTACACCATGTGCCCAGCGCTAGCGTACTCCGCGCGCGACATGCGTTCGCAAATACTGGAGTGTGGTTGTCATTCCGTAAGCCACAATCACACACCGAGACCTACAACCTCTCGTCTACTCGAAGCTTGATAAATCCGTTTGTACAGCGTGAGTTATGATACCCAGCTCAGCAACTCAGCTCCAACCCAGACACCACCACTTTAGTCAGATCCATCATCGATGCCATCCAATCTGACTCCGATTTCCGGAACTTAATCAAACTCTACACTGAGGTACCGAACTCTGGCAGGTATCCACAGAAATCTCGACCGGCGAATTTGCTTTCGGAATGCGTATGTCATTTTCCGCTTACCTCCGGGTAATACACAACGTTCTCAGATTCCGTTCGGTTAGTGGATGGGAACGGTCCTACCTTACCACTCACTGAGCGAGTTGATTGCCTTTAGAGTCCGCATTGAGTCAGTATAGTCGTTCCATTTTCGGTCAATCTTTTGACACGGAGTTCAACCAACACGGGATTGAATAAATATAGAATATTAAATATGATAGTAGCGCTCCGGATCGGAGGTCGACGAGAGAGTATGCGGAAAAAGAGGGATCTAGGGGTAAATTTCGAGTGTTCAGTAATACTTCGGTGAGGTTTCAGACTGTACTCACAGAGCAGTTAGGTCGTGTGTGCACCCTGCCTTCGGTTTACCCAACGATTGACCCTAGAACGGAGTGATCAGCATACAGCAAGTGAGCAAAGACCAAGTCCATTTTGAGAATACGTACACTGGTGCCAATAAATCCCCCCATAGAATAGGCAAGGTGGCCAGTAGCAAGATCACCAAGATGACTTCACGAACCGTCTTCGAGCTAGATGTCCATCCCACGTAGGCGCTAACTTGCCAGAACAGAAATTGGAACCCGAACCACATGGCCAAATTCCCTGTACGTGCAACATATCTCAGGACTCTCTGTAAATCTACGTAATTGTAGTCGAACTTACAATGTATGTAATACCATCTCAGATGGTGGAACCATCCCGCCAAGTCACTGGGTACTGCTGGAAGCCAGAACATGGTAATTTCTTTGGTTGAAGGTCCGCGTTGGGAGCTCGCCTTAGACGAGATCTCTTGGAGCTTTTTGATCAAGAGCAAAGATGAACATGTGGCGCTAGCATTGCAAAGGAGGGAGCCGTAGGACGTGATCTCGAGTACTTTGAAACTATCAGATTGTTCGTTGAACCCGCTGTCTGATCGGTAAGTTTGGAGTATGGTAGCTGACAGACTGGCAAGAAGAGCAGTCTATAAGGGTCAAACATGGATAAATAGTAAGTTTGGTACCTAGAGATCTCATTGAGTAACTGAAGACTCACGACAACGGCACCGCTCTGTAACGCCAGTTCCCAGGATTTTTTGACGATCTCAACGTCGTCTGGTAACTTATCTGCAGTACAACAATTATCCAGCAGAACCAAAAGCGTGTAGCGAGTCTTTCCTACATCTCAGGTCAGGCGTGTGGTCAAGCTGAGTACTAGAAGAGGAGCCAGCTTCGGATGGATTCAATGAGTAAAATTCAGATGCGAGGATAGGATTTCCACTGACGTTTGGGGTGACCATCGTAGCTGGCGGGAGGTCGTTCTCTGGTAGTTGAGGGAACACCGTTGATTTCAAGTGATTGTGCTGGAATTCGAGCATGTTAACGACATACCCATAGTCAGGTCTAATAAGACATGTTTACAACCTTCCAGTGCTACCCCATCACCTCGGTGTATCGGGTGACGCGGGTGAACCATGGGTGTATAGGACATGGTGCGTTGGTTGAGGGTTGAGATATGGTGCTCTTCTGGGGGCTCTTATATAGTTTGTGAGAGAATTAAACAGAAACAGAGTTTAGGTTTAGAGCCCTCCGAGCGCGCGGCGCTCGAAATTTCAAGCTGTGATGAGCCCCACAATTATCGCCCGGAGTCTTCAAACTAACGACGATTATTGGCGATCGCTATCAATCTCAGTATCCCAGAATGTAGGAAACACGAGAGACACTCCTTTTGCAACCGATACGGTATATGTTTGTTGACATTCTCAAGCTTTGTTACAAGTACCCCCACCCCCAAGGATTGTACGAGTACCCCAGCTTTCCTGAAGGAGCCGTGGCAGCATTTTCTCCATCTACGGCGGACATATAGTTTGGGGGTCGATTTGGATTCTACGGTTACTGCCGCAATGATCTATAATATTATTTGGACGTCAGTTTGCCAATGTTTCGGCCTTTCTCGGTTAAAGAAGCTATACCCTACACCCACGCCGACGTCGAAATCGGAGGTGTTGGTGGAGCGAGATATAATTGCAATTCTGCACGCACTTTCACTTATCCCGAATCATGATCTATCTGCAAACTCGATGAAGATTTTTCTGGCGGTGCGACCAGTCGGCTTGAAGTTTATAATAGCCACTATCCTTCTCGGTGAATGAATACGTAAACCTTGGCGGGAAACCAAAGAAACCTCAGCCGGCGAACACGGTGAAGTAATACGGTAGACAATACGAGCGCACCGATTCAATCAAATCACCCATAATCAGCAGACGTCGAGTATTCCAAATCGTGAATCCGAATATTTGAGGGTGTTGATCTACTCAGCCTTTTCGACCTCGCTCATTTTGGGACGCTACACGCGTTCTCTCATCCAACGAGCCCTCTGTATGTGTAACGGCATCAGGAACCTCCCTCGTGCACTAGGCATTTGATGACTGGGCATGTAGCTCGTGAATAAAAACCCACTACCGAGTTATTTGCGATGATTGGTGGGAACTTGTGTACAAGATTTGCCATGGGGTTGATATGAGCTCATTTTTCGTTGGAAAATTGTGCGCCACTAGAGCACGAGGAACGTGAACCTCCCTCAGATTAGGTTTGAGGAAACCAGATCGTAGGCTATTCAGCAAAATCTATCTGAACGAAAACAGTGGATACATGGCTTGGATATGTGATGCGTTACAGGCTCGGATTTCCGAACTAAACCTGACAATGAATCGCTAATTCCAGTCGACTTCCGGCCAGCACCCCCAGAGGGTACCCAGTATCCAGACCCCCACAAAACTACCTCCAGCACAAGCTATCAGGGGGGCGAAAACGATAGTTGGTACCTTCACTAACAAAATCTCGCCCGCCTTGCATCCTACTTTTCTAATCTTTCTGGAGAACAGCTTCATACGGCGGTGTTTGTGTCGCAAATAAGGCCTCTCTCGTTCAAAATATACGAGGGTCGAAATGATTTCTTCCATGGGTGGTCTGCCTTGGAGTGCCTCCAATGGAACGGGATGAATAGTAAGAGATTGAGGTTGTTCACAGTGGAAAGTAGCGATGGCGTTCTCGGAGTTCTTGAGCTAGGCCAATTGATAAGTAAGTAAACGGATTGACATGCAGAACCACAGACCCAGGTCACTTTCCCCGCCGGGTTGTACGTCCATGTATATGTAGGACCGTAGTCGCCAGACCGGAACTCGAAAATAATATTCGTGTTCCTATCCTCACCTATTCAGTAAACACCTCAAGGTGGCTACATTGCAAATGACACACCTCTCCAAATCGTGATTCCATTTGTTAGAAGCGTACTCTTTTCCGTTGATAATGCAGCTCCCCTTCGTTATTACCCCCTCCTCGATATTTTTCCTTACATTCCTGATTGCCGTAGCCCCTTTCTCTCCTTCCGAAGTCGCTATCTCGTATAGCACCTCACCTGTAGGGCTGCAAAGTTTGGTGTTCGAGATAGAGTCCTCGGAGAAATTGACTTCAATGGAGTCGTCAGAGGATAGGGTGGTCGTATCGTCAGTGGACATGTCGTTCGTGGTGATATTGACGCCCGGTGAGCGGTTGCTTCTTGTACTCTGGTGGCCACCGATCCTCTGTTATTCAGTCGAGGCATGCCTTTATTTCTATGCGTCATAAATGACTCTTGCTTCCTTCAGGCTCTCATGCGAGCATTGTACAGCACGCAGATTATATTCAATTAATAAGCGCCATTGGTCACACTGGAGCCTCGAGGGAAGGGAAGGGATAAATTGTGTGAGAATGCTTATCGTTAGGCGCTCATTGCAGCTTCCAAAACGGCAAAAGATCGAGTTCACGTATGTAGATTCTCCCGAATGAGCGCTCGTACATTGCCCGTGGTATTTGCACTCCAACTGGCTTGACTAGCAATATCGCAGGTCTTAAAAGGCATGTCGAAACCCCCAAACCTCTTCCAAAGGGCTAGCAACTACTGACGATCACACTCAGTAATGGATTGTATAGCCGTAAGGTAGTAGTAGGCCTCTTTCGCACTCGGAAGGGGAAGAGCCTTCCAATCCAATCCATCATGACCAGCGCATAAATCTACAGGGGAGGGGTGACCACATCAAAATCAACCTAGCCCGTATCACTATTTACCAACTTTCCGCGTCAAACCCTCCTAGACGACTTAGGTCTCCTTCGCTGAGGAGCTGAAAATGGAAAAACCTAAGGGATACATATGGCTGGGCTTCATGTATGCCCCTTCAGAAGCCGAAGGAATTACTCGAGGGTTCGACCCAGAACGTCCCTAAGCCTGACTAGCACTGTTCTTCTATCGGTGACGAGACGAGCCCTCCATGGCCGTTTGAAGGCAATACGCACTAAACTTACCCAAACCAAGTATCTTCTCCCAATTCCAATGTCCGACATGATCATGGAGGGTATCTCGACAATGCCCCAAGTAGAGCGCCCTACCTACCGCAAAAGCTCGTCCAATCTGATGATATCGTAGGCTCACCCGGACCTACGCTATCATTCTGAAGCCCCATAGTGGATCGGCTTCGAGTTTACACGCCTAGTGACCAACGGTGTAGTCCGAGTGTAACGCTCGACGGCAGCCTCATTCACGGAGAGACACATCTCCAGCAAACCATCGGTCGGTCAAAGAACACCAAAAGTCTCACCGGGAGAGTGATCAAAGGGTCAAATAAGTAGTAATATAGCCATTGTTGGCGCGCCAACGGAAGGTCCAGTGACTATA